AATCCAAAACAAGTTGGAGGTGATGCAAGTAAGGAACCTCTTATCATGCGGTGCACCCAGCAAGATCTGAAGGACTAGGATGACAGCTGGCTGCTTGGGAAATGGATTACACCGAGTAAAGAAAGTTATGGATTTAGGATTGGGAGCAATGTGGCTTGTGTGTTTGCTGGGATGAGCAGCACTGTCATGTAGTTTGAACTTCTAATTCATATTTCTAGAGCTAGCATTACTTTGGAAAGCACAGGAGGAAGTATTTTGGAAGGATGGGGTGTGAGGCTAGGAAGGGAGATGGTCCACAGGAGACTCTCCTCATACAAAGTGGTCAGCATAATAAAATAGTTGGAGGACCATTGATCTGCAGCTTCTGTCCAGTGTATTTAAGAACTTGGTGGACCTAATACACAAATGTATTTATACTAGCAGACTTATCCTGCATTGCCCAGGTCCTTCAGGGCAAGGGACTGGTAGTATGGAGGATATAGGAGTCAGGGCAGGGCCTTGAGGATGTGTGGAGGTGCAAGAGTGATGGTTGGGTGAGGAGGGGCTCAGGGTGGGTAGGTCCCATCTGGCCTAGGCCTTTTCTCCCCCTCCCCCTCCAGCTGCCAGGGGCCTTTTCTTCCCCCTCTTCCCTTCCCCCAGCCGCCAGGGACCTTTTCTCTCCCCCATCTATGCCCCCTCATGGCTGCAACGGGCCTCCCACCCCGCACCCTTTTGGTGCTACAGCCAAGGGCAGGAGAGGGAGAAAGGTTTGAGGTGGGGGGCTACTCACTTGGTGTGCTAGCAAGCAGGATAGCAGAGTCCCAACCCTTTTGGCCAATCCCTTGGTTGTATGGGGGGATACTTATTAGCTAGGACAGGTAGGAATGGTGTTCCTAGTCTGTGTCAGAGGCTGGAAATGGATGACAGGGGAAATGACCTGTTCTGTTCGTTCCCTCCGCAGCATCTGGCATTGGCCACTGTCAGAAGACAGGATACTGGGCTAGATGAACCTTTGGTCTGACCCAGTATAGTTGTTCTTATGTATAGCTGCCCCCCAGTGGACACTGCAGGAGAGCTCTCCCCTGCAGGCTCGCTGCTTCCAGTGGCCACTCTCATATCACATCCCTCCAAACAGCAGCCTCTCCCTTTGCATGTTATGGAAAACAGTCCTTTTCCTAGGGCTTTTGGTTGTTCTGCACAGCCAAACCCTGACCTTGCTTTAAGTTATGAGAAGAGGAAGCTGACTATCAAATTTGGTGGCCCTAGTTCTTACCATTCTTGAGCAAACAGATTTGCTGGCAGGCACACAGACAGACACACTCTAAAAAACAGATACATTTTGAATCTCTACAAAGCAATTTCACTTTTGCTCTGGCCATGTATCTGCTGTGGTAGAAATGATAAAATTAGGTGATACAGCTGTAGATGAAAGCAGCTAGTAGACTTTTAGCTAACACTAAACTCAGCACTGTACCAAATGACTGAGAAAACAGGGATGTATCAGTTCATTGTAAGTGGAGCACACAGTGGTTGACACATAGCAAAACCTATATAGCTGATGTAACCAGTCCAGTCCATTGGTTTAGTAGATGCCCTTAGTTTCTTTGGGAATTGCAAGTTTAGCCATTTTAAACTGGTTACAGAGATATGGTTATATATTTTGTTCTAACCTATTTACTAACCTTTGTTGTATTGATAGCAAGGTGAGCCAAATTTGGTGGTCCTTGTTTATAAGCAACTTCATTTCTTCCAAAGGCCTCTTACTGGAGCGACAATTTGGACTAGTCTTGAGTCCTTGATGTTAATGACATTTAATGCTATTAGTGAAACAAAAGTTTGTTCGTCTATTTCTAGTGACAGAGAAGGACCATATAGCCAAACTTGTTGCAGTGATGTTTTTATTGTTGATGCTTTGTTAATTTAAATTAAATCTACTATATATATTTTAGAGAGTTTGTCTGATCAAAAACTCCTCCAAAACATTAAGAGCCAGGACCACCAAATTCAGTATACAGCTTCCTCTTATCATAAGAAAGCTGGATTGAAAGCTGGTCTCTCTAACAGAAGTCGGTCCAATAAAAGCTATTACCTCATTCAACTTCTCTCTCTACTGTCCTAGGACTGACATGGCTAAAACTGCCTTGCATCCAGATAAAGAATGTCAGCTAGCGCTACTTAAAGTTAGGAAAGGTTAAATGAATGGGTAGCCGTCTTTAATACGGCATGAGAGCTGGAAAGGAAGAGGAACTATTACACTGGGCCAGGCTGCTCTGCAAGTGGTCTGTGGCTCACTGCTGGGCCATATCCTGCCGTTAGGGAGTCTGTTTTGGAGCTAGGGAAGAGATTGTTTAAGGGCAGAAATGCTGCTTCCTCTCTGACCTCTCTCCCTTCCCCTCTTCCCCCCCAATCTCCCCTTCCTGAGGCTTATAAATTGACTGTAAAATGTCCTTGGTTTGGCTGCAATGTTTTATGTCTCAAGTAGCTCCTCTGCCTCTTCCCCCTGGGTAAGTCACACAACCCTTTCCTGTTCTCTCCCTGCAGATATCTGCAGCAGCTGTCCCAGACTAGGATTTATTCTCTAGGCCCGGGCTTCTAGCTAGCAGCTGCTGGCTAGGGCAGGGGAGGAGCGAGTGAAGAGGAGGGAGGTGTGCGATACAGCAGGCTGGAGTGTGACTAGCAATTTGGAGCGGGGGTAGCGAGGGTCTTGCTGGCTCAGAGCACTGCAGCGAGAACTGCTTTGAAAGAACATGCTCCTGCTGCAGCATGAGGGCGAATGCTGCAGGGTAGGTGGGGTTGCTGCTGTTTCTGGGGAACTGTGTGGACGGGTAAGCTGGTTGCTAAGGGGTTTGTAGTTAGGTATCTAGGTGGCAGAGCTCAGGCAGTCCTTTCTCTCTGACACTCACTCCTGCTGGTGTAGCTTTACATAACATTAGAATGGCCATGCTTGGTCAGACTGTCTAGCCCAGTGTCCTGCCTTCTGACAGTGTCTGGTGCCAAGGGCTTCAAAGGGGCTGTACAGAACAGGGCAATTACCTACTGATCCATCCCCTGTGGTCTAGTCCCAGCTTCTGGCAAGCAGAGGTTTGGAAGTGGGCAGAGATGAGTGCCTTGTACGCAGTATTGGAACAATGATTTCATGCAAGTGTGAATTTAATTCTCTCGGTACTTAAATGTCTTTCTTTGCAGAGGGGTGGGGTCAAGTGGGTGCTAGGTAGAACTAGGGAAGAGGGGGACAGATGAAGAACTGGATGTGGGGTGGAGTCTTTGTACTAATGGAACTGATTTCTAAAGCTTCCCCAGCCTCTCCCATTGCTAAAACCTGACAGTGGGTAGGAGGAATGGAATCTGAGTCAATAAGTTCTTCTTGCCTTGTTCTGTAGAGTGCCATGTTCACTTATGGTGCTCTGTAAAGTGACGACTGGGCAGGGGAATGAGAATTATTAGAACTCTCCAATTACTAAAGCTAATAAGAGTCTGGTGCCTGGCGCTCTCTCTGAATTGATCACAAAGCATTCACAGACCAAGTCCTAGCCCAGCCTGTGAACCTTGTGTGGGGTGGGAATGTATGTGTATGTATCTCCTCCCTCCACAAGCCCCATTGAAACTGCTTCTCATGGGAGAAATCCTAGCACACACAAGATCTTTCTAAATTTCTTCAGGCTTTACTTTTAAATCAACACGAAATACTTGTTTTTTGTTCTGTATTTTTAAAAATCAACTATTTTCTCTGTTCCACCCTTTCTCTAATACTTCAAAATGCAGGGACATTTTTTGCTGTTGTGGAAAAATTTGTCAGATCAACTAACTGTCTAAGAACCTGTAACAGGTTACCTTGGTAACTTGTTTATTCATTATCTTTCTTAGGTATTTGAAAAATGTGTCCTTTAAACTTGTGTTGAGCTTCGCTCCTCTCAGCCCAGCGCTGAGATGTGAGCAGCCCTACAATCTGCAGGTAAATGTAAAAACAAGGGATACAGCTCCTCGCTGATTTTTGTCATCTCTCTGGTTGTGAAAATGAGTTATGTATTGGAAGCCAGTGAAATAAATTAGTTTGCTTGTTTCTGCTCTCGTTGATGTCAAGTGCATAGTGTGGATTTGATTAATCCAATCAAAAATAAAGTCTGTGTTTTTGGAAGAAGTAAGTTTTGTGGTTCGACAGCAAAGCCAACAGGGGAGAGAACTTTATTATTCATGTGTTAAATTAGCAAATTATAAAGCACTGATTGCAACACAATGTAGCTGATGCTGAATACGTATACAATCTTTGATAGTAGGGGGTCACAAATGAAATTAATACTCAGCAGTTTTAAAACAAACAAAAGGAAGTTTGGGGTTTGTTTGTTTTTTCACACCATGTACAGTCAACCTGTGGAAATCCTTGCCAGAGGATGTTGTGAAGAACTACTTACCTAATTCAAAAAGCAACTAGATAAGTTCATGGAGGTTAGGTCCATCAATGGCTATAAGCCAGGATAGACAAGGATGGTGTCCCTAGCCTCTATTGGCCAGAACTGGGAATGAGCTACAAGGGATAGCTAACTTGATTAACTGTTCTATTCATTCCCACTGGGGGACCTGGCATTTGCCAGTGTTGGAAAACAGGATATTGGGCTAGATGGACCTTTGGTCTGACCCAGTGTGTCCATTCTTATGCTACTTGCTGCACAGTTGCAGAATGGGATATTTCTGGAGCTAAACCCTCTTAATCTATTGAATCAGAGACCTTCTTATACAAGTGGCATTTATTAAAGAAAGTAACTAAAACTAGAGACCCAAACAGGTTTCCACAAAACTTCAGTTCCCACTTTGTTTACCAGCCACCATGCTTGTAAACTCTGTCCAGCACACAGAGACATCTATCACCTGAATAATATACTGCAAATAGACATTGCATTTCAAACCCTCTCCTCCATGAGTGCAGGAAGCCCTGTCTTCCATCTTTAGGAAGAGGAGAGGAAGGATTTTGAGAGCTTGTGCAGGAACAGCAGAACTCTGCTCTCAAGCAGCTATTGCTGAGGCTGACCAATAGCTCTTTGGGGACAAGATCAGTGTATCCAGCCCTCAGGCTAGAGTAGTGGCTTCAGAGATTTTCCATTCTTGCTCTATGGCCAGGTGAAAAGATCTCTAGCCCAGATGTATGGAAACAAGATTTAAAAGTAATCAAAAAAGAATATGATCCCTCATTCCTGCACCCACATGTGTGTGTGGACTTAAAGTTGCTCATACCAATATAGACTCAGGTCTGAGTCTGAGCAACGTACACAGTAGGACTCTAATCATCCTAAGGTTGACAAGTATCAGAGGGGTAGCCATGTTAGTCTAAATCTGCAAGAACGAGAAGTCCTGTGGCACCTTATAGACTAACAGATTTATTGGAGCATACATCTGACAAACTGGGTCTTTGCCTACGAAAGCATATGCTCCAATAAATCTGTTAGTCTATAAGGTGCCACAGGACTTCTAGTTGTGTATCCTAAGGTTGTTGCCCATAAAATGTGCTGAGGGAGCCAAGGACATATTTGTTTCATTCCAGAGGAAGCAAGTAATTATTACATGTTGACTGCAATAATGGGCTCTTCCTCTGAGGAAGGCATTGGCCAATAAAGGATGTGAACTTCCGTGAGGTTATTTTTCAGGAACTGCAATGTTTCACAACGGGCTTCTATTAAAATGCTCATATTCAGCTTATGTCCCCCTCTCATCAACCCTGTGCCCTAAGACAGGGAAGGGGAGCTGTGGGTGAATAGGATGACTGCATTGGCTACAACTGGGCCCCCTCTCTTCAGTGGAACAATGTTTCTAGTGCTGTGGACATTGCCAGGGTCATGCTGACTTATTTTCTTCCAGTAAAGGGAAGGTGGCCTTTCCTGTTGGGAGCATATGATCAACCTTTGTTTCCTCCCATCCATGCTAGTTTCTTCTTGCTAAAACCCAAAGTAATGTGCAGCCATATCCCTTGGGAATACCTTCTGAGGGGCACATTGTACCTCACCTAAGTGACAATGATGACACTTTTTCATTATTTGTATTGCAATAGTGCCTAAAGGGCCCAATCAGGAACTAAGGCCCCATTGTGTTAGGCACTATCCACATGTAATAAAAAGAGGGTCCCAGCTCCCTGCTGCTTATAATCTTAGCATCTGGATAAGGCATCAAGAAATTACAACTAAATGGAGGTAAGGAAAGGCTAAGAGTAAAATGTTCAGGCTTAGTGTAATGAGCAAGAGTTGGAGCACACCTCCAGCTTAGTCATCGTCCAGTAGAAATCCCGACAGAAGTGAAATAAACTTCCCCAGTCCTGCTCTGATTTACAGAACAAGTGTGCTAGCTTCCGAGTTACACTATATGCACTTACTAATAGAATTCAAGACCAAAACTGAGTTGCTCGCATCTGTTTTTTATTAGTTGATGTTATTTCTCGTGAGTTTGTCAATCAGGACAGTGAGTAATCAGACACCTGCTCTTCAGCCATAATTACTGTAAAGGAATTGGCAAGCTGTGTTCTCTGTGTTTGTCAAGCTTATTAATCACATCAGCTGAAGCATTTGATTCCTGCCTAACAACTTTCCATGACCTTGCTCCATGCTTCCCCAGTTTCTCCACTATCCTGTAATTTGTTGCTAGCCCAGTTCTACCTTTAGATACATGAACACAGCTCTCACTAACTCCAGTGGGAGCAATGCTGTCCAGGTAGCTTAAGTGTGGCAGTCTGAGAAGTTAGAAATTGCCCACCAATCTGCCTTAAAATTCATGTGTGTGAAGAGAAACATATTTCAGGGGATCAGTTGGACTAATTAGAATCAAGTCTCCCCAAGTATGGTCAAACTTGTAGGAAGATAGAAAAGTTACAAAAGGGGTTTCTTGTTTCAGGGGATCAGTTGGACTAGATTAGAATTAAGTCTCCCCCAAGTATGGTCAAACTTGTAGGAGGATAGAAAAGTTACAAAAGGGGTTTCTTTGCTGGGGGACTGGATTCATGCAGCAAGCTCTGAAAATCCATCCCTGTCCCTCCATTCAAAGGCAGTTACATAGATCATGTTGGAGCATTGTTCTTCCCTGCCAGCTCTGGGGAACTCATCGCTGTGTACAGCACCCTGGCAATACGACTCCAATGGAGTCATGTTTTAAGGGTTTCATTCACTGAGGGCAGCCCCTGGTCCCATCCGTGAGGGGACATTTTGCTGGGAAAAGGGTGGCTGTCAAAAGTTAATACAGCCTGTGAATGGAGGATGATTATATGTTTAAAGCATTGAACTAGGACTCAGAAGTCTGGGAATCCATTCCTGTCTCTGCTGCTGATTTCTGTGTAATCTTATTCAAGTCACCTTATTTCTCTGTGACTCAGTTTGCTATCTGTAAACAGGGTTAGTTGTACTTCCTTAGCTACAAGGGGCATTGGGAAAGGGGTGCTCAGCTCACTGGGGGATGTATAAGTATTTTGCAGTAGAGTGTGTACTAGGTACCAGGCTGGGGTCAAGGGAGGTAGTGCCACTGAGGCATCTGACACTCTTGTCACCCTTAAATTGAGGAATGATTTACACAGAGGAATTATTCTAAGTGACTGATCTCCCTCGCAGCAGTTCTGTGGAAGTGTTTTACATTAACTTTCCAGTCTAAATAGTGTCCTTTCTCAGCTTCCCTCGCAGCAGTTCTGTAGAAGTGTTTTACATTAACTTTCCAGTCTAAATAGTGTCCTTTCTCGGCTTCCAATCATAAACTCAGAAAGAGAGAGAGTGAGAGAGAGAGAGACTAATATTGGTGGAGAAATGTAGGTGGATATTTTGTGTAATGTGCTGTTTTACTGAACCCACTTGGGTAATATTTAATATTTTAGTGTTAGGAACCCCTGAAAATCTGTTTTACTGAACCCACTTGTGTAATATTTAATATTTTAGTGTTAGGAAATGAGTAGTAAGAGAGGTTAAGTTACTTAAAACATCAGAGCAAGTTGGTGGTAGACTGGAAATAGAATCTAGGAGTTCTAGATCTGTCTTATGGTTTCACTACAGGACATGCTGCCCTGTTTAATTATTATTATTATTATTTTATTATATATTCATTCGCTGACCTTATTTCTTACCATTCTTTAGCAGGTCATGAGTAAGAGATTTTGAAACTCCATAAAAAGTGTTCATGTTAATTGATTTAATGGGTGGAGATTATTTCCATCTGCTGTGACTTTCTCCCCTTTATGAAATTACAAGGTAACCATTCTGATGCAAAGCACAGAGCTGTATTGGCAGAAAACACTATTTTTGAGATGTGTAATGAACTTGGACCAGGATTAGGGAAGTGAAAGGAAGAGATGACAACAGACCTTGCAAATGGAGTCCAACTAAAACTGGTTGGAGTGTTTCAGGCTCAGTGCATTCTGACAGGTCATCTGGAGCAGTACAATATGCCTGCAGTCCAGAAGTTTCAGACTGTAGAAAGCTTCAGAAAGAAACATTTGACACTGAAGGCAGACTTTACTTTTCAAAATAAAATATTGCAGGAAAAATGGAAAGCAGGCAAAACTAGTGGTATCTTCAGAGTGTATAATGCAAGTGATTAACTTTAATAGTAGAGAGAACTGACTCATGCAGCTATAATTCATAATTTGAAGAAGGTTTTAATTTCAAACACAGTATTGGACAAAATTAGCACTGACACTTAATTTTGTTTTCACAGATCTCATTGCTGTGGAATGTCATCAACCTGCTGTAAGTAACTTTCCTCTCTAGTCAGTGTATTTGTTTATTGAATATATTTAAAACAAGGAGGAGAAAGCGATCAGTGCACAGAGGATCATACTAAAATACTTCTTCCAAGGTGAACTTTTTGGGAATCTTGCTCTGTCCTTGGGCTGAGGACTGCACCATACCAAAGTTCAGTATACATATGGCTGTAATGCTAGCAATGAAACAAATACCATTTAAGTCTTCTGATGTGCTTTAATGTATGGGTCCAATCCTCAATTGTACAAACCATCTATTGGAAACAAAGTAAATTCAGCACAAGCCAGAACTGCACAATTTAGCTGTGGATTCCTAGCAGAGAGGAATCTGTGTGTTAATAATTCCTCAGAAGGAATGTGTTAGTAGGAGAGCTGGTAATTAGTGTTCAGAAAACTGGCAAAACTTCCCCAAAAAATGAATACAACTTCTCCAACTCTGAGGTCATCTTGATTCAAATCTGCTATCAATATCTGAATAGAAACCAATGTGAAGAATTAGGGTTTGATTCTCCATTACTTTGCAACTTGCTTAGTATTTCAAAGGGCAAAGTGGGTGTAAAATACCAACCTGAATAACAGGAGCAATGTTTTAAATTCAGTGCTTGCAAGTGAAAATGAACCCAGAAAGTACAGGCCAACAGAGATCCAAACCCTAAGTTTTTACTAAGCACTTCAGGGTTTGGAAGCATCCAGTAAATTCTTACATTATTGTGCTGCTGTGCGGTTTGGAAGCATCCGGTAAATTCTTACATTATTGTGCTGCTGTGCTTTGTGCATTCAGCTCACTACTTTTAATGAGAATTGTGTAGAATTTGGCATATACCCTAGGAATGGTAACATCTTCTCTTTGCCATTATCTTCACTATGGTAGTTTCTTCCTCGTTTTTAATCACGATGATGTAATATTCGCATTACAGTAGCACCCATGGGCCCCCAACCATGACCCCTTTCTGGGAGGTGCTCTATGAAGAGAAGGGTAGCCATGGTTCCTACACAAAGCCGTTTACTGCTTGCCATTGTGTTGTCCATCCAATCTGAATTTCTTTGCTTTTACAGCATTTGACATTAGGCCAACTCTTTAAGGGTCAGCAAGAAATAGTGGCAGAGGGAATAATGCAGTGCCAGCCCAGCTGTGTTGTAAATTATCTATTGAGCAGGCTGCCAGACTCTCCTTTGCACTTGGACAAAATGTGTAATTAGTTATACACAGTCACAAGTGCAGCATAAAGCAAGATCTGGCTGCTTTGCACATATGTTTTCTAGTATGTGGAGTGTCTAATGCTTGCACAGGGTTCCTGGGATCAGGCCAATCATCCTGAGTCAGGAGCCCAACTGGTAAAAATGGTTAATTCTCACACGGTCGGCTGGGCAGAGGTAGTGAACTCCAGGGTTCTGAGTTTAGAATGTCTACCTAGCAGGAAGCAAGCTACTCCACATGTTTTGCACAGCGGTATAATATATTGGCCCAGTTCCTCCATCAAAAGTTGGAAGATCCCTGTCACGAGGGATTACTTACCTGTAGGACAGCCAAGTGTCTGGTTTTTGCCCCAAAAGTCTGGTAGAAAAGAGGACCTCACTGTCCAGTCAGTAGTACTGACCGGACACCAGAAGTCCAGTTACCTGAATAACCGTCCTCAATCGGCTTCCATTCCACTGCCGAGAGGGTGGGAAGAGCAGTTGCTGCTGGGCCTGGAGGAGCCCTGAAGTACTGGTAGCTCTGGGATCCTGAATTGTGCTGGATTTGAGGAGCTGGCTGGGCTCGCTGCAATGGGACCATTCTGTGTTGTTTGTGCACCTCCCCTGAGGTGCTGACCTAAGTTCTGTCTAGGGCGCGTGCCTGGCTGGGTGTGCGATGGGATCATTCTGTGTTGTTTGTGCCTCTCCCCTGAGGTGCTGTCCTAAGTTCTGTCTAGGGCGCGTGCCTGGCTGGGTGTGCACAAAGAATTTGAAGCTCTCCCACCTCCTCAGCAGAGCCACACAGCAGCACTCACCTTCCTGGAAGGGAAGCTGCTGGTGGTGGACTTAATGGGAGAGTGGAGGGCCCATCAGGAGCCAGCTCTAGCCCTTCCACAGGGTTGGAGCTGTGGCTAGGCTGTCTGATTGTTCCCTGGGCAGGCCATGTGGCGGCTGCCCAAAGCTGGGAGCCAGGCTGTGGTATGGCTGCTCCTGAGGCTGGAGCTGCATCTTTTCCCCTCAGAGCCCCAGCCCTCTGCTCTCCCCTCCCCCCACACTCCCCACATGTCACTGTCCCACCCCCAGCACCTCACTTCCTGCAAGCCCTGGGCACTGGCGGCAGCTTCCCTCTGCCCCAGCTGGGGGCCAACTGTCAGCCCTGCAAGGAGCAGCCTGGACCAGTCCCTGCCCTGCACACAGGCTGCCCAGGAGCAGCGCTCTCTGGGGTGGGGCACATCTCATCTTCTCCCCATGAGATGGGGGGTGCTACCTGGGAGCAGGGCTTGGGGTCTGTGCTCTGGGAGAGTCTCTTGGGGAGCAGTGCCACTGGTGGGTGCCACAGTGACACACACCCAAACAAATGCACACGGCCTCATTGCTGGCACACAAGATAAAACTTGCTCTGCTCATGGATGGAAAATCTTAGCGGGAACACTGGTGCTTTCCCTCCTCGTGCCCAATCTACGGAGCCTGGCTCCCCCTCTCCTATGCTGTCCCAGTCACTTCCTCCCACCCTTGGAGTGCAGCTTCCTTTTGGATATCCTGCTCCAGTCACCCCTACACCGGTACAGCTCTGCTCAACTGCCAGAGGAAGGGAGGTGAAGAAAGCCGTGAGTGACTGGAGTGGTGAGAGGGGTGGGAAGAGGATTGGGGGCAGGGCCTTGGTGGGGGGAAGAAGCCAAAGGGTGGCGGGGGAGGTTCCAGTCCTCAGTGTCTGGTTTACACAAATTAGAAAGTAGGTAGGGTGGCCAATCTGGCTCCTATGCCTCACACCCATCTCACTGCAACTCTTGGTGTAGAGTCTGTCAGGGGAGTGTGACTGGAGCCCTGCTGCAGGCCATCATTGCTGATGGAAGTGCTGGCCCCAGGGTCAATCGGCACAGCTCGAGCTAGTCCAGAGAATGTTCTCAAACGTACAAAGAGCAGCTTCGAACTGGTCCGTCGGTCAGGGAACGCTGGTGGGCTCCACTGTACGCAATCTATACGAGGAAGTAGTTCATAAATTGTAATGCCGTAGGGGACACTGGTATTTTTACCTAGGACTGAATCAAGGCTGTGGCACTCTTGATATTCACTTAGGACTTCAGCTTCGGAGACCCCCTGATGATGACCAGAATCTTAGCTTTCATTTTAACAACAAAGTTCATCATGCCCTTATCCATTCAAAGAAACACTTGGAAATGTGATTGAAGTGTAACCAATGCAATGATGTCTGCCTGAGTTTCCAGAAGCCTGAAAGAATTGCTTTGAGAGGACTGAACTGCCCCATTCATCTTGAAAGGATAATAACTTTGAAACCTGGTGCTCTAAGAGAAAGAGATGCCGTGTGCAGGCAGTCTAGTTAGCACTTCTGGGCTGGTATGAACGGGACTACACAGAGTTATTTGCCTGGGCGGATCACAGCAGAGGAGCAGTGGTGAGGTTCCAGCCTGTGCTAAAAGGAGTCATGGTGGACTGCCTAGCAGATGGCATTTGTGTGAGTGCCACAAGAAGGGACAAGGCCCAGTCTTGACTTGAATTTGGGTCTTGGGAAAGGAAAAGGGCAGTTATTTGGCAAGCTGCAGTAGCTTAATTTTGGCCTATTATTATGTAGTTCTTTCCAAACCTTTCTGTAGTGTCATGTGCTAAATTCCAGTGGGTTTTTTGTGTCTGCTGGAAAAGCCATTGTAGGAATCTGCAAGTCACTCCCCCAGGTGCTAATATTCAATGTGTATCTTGTGTTTCCTGGTTAGAAGCTGCCCCTTTTAAAATCCCCCTATAGTATCCTCTGTTGTGATGTTGCCTGATAAGTTATTTATTGCCAAGATCTTAAACTCCCACATAACACAAGATCCATGCCTAGTTTTTTTTCCCTTTTAGAATGGTAGGTCTATTGTTCACTGTCAGAAGGAATTGCCCTTGAGTCTCAGGTAGCCCCACTGCACCACCACCCAGGAGCCACCTGTGGTAAGCAATGTCCAGCTGGAGCCTGCATCCTGAACCCCTGCTCCAGTCATAAACCACCTCCTGCACCTGCCCTAGCCATGAGTCCCCCTATACCCACATTTCCTTAAAAAGGTTGGAGATCCCTGATTTAGATTGATTGGAGAGCTCGCCATCTCCTGGTATTCTCATTAACACTTTCAGGGTGCTGTTTGCTTCAGCATCTGTTTATTGGCCTCTTCCAGAGGGAGGAAGAGTTCTGTGTGGGCCAATAAAATACATTTACCTTATCTACCTTGTCACTTTCATTGGCTTTTGAAGCATTTCTCTGTGAATTACCTTCAATGGAGTTAAACTGTGTCTAATTGAATTGATGAAATCCTGCATCCTACTATTTGACTTAGAGCTAGTTTGTTCCTCGAAGATTTTAAATTGCAGAATGATTTCTGTAAGTTCCCAAAGCTAAAATTTTCAAACATAAGGGAGTGCCTGGAGGTAGGCCCCTAAATCCATATTTAAGCAGTCTTATTTTAAGAGATACTGATCACCCTCGGCTCCAGCTGGTTTCAGTCAGAGAAGCAAGAAGCAGATGTTTAAAATCTCTGCGAATCAAACCATTATTTAGGTGCTTAGATATGGATGTAAGTGTTTTGATTGCAATCCTGCCAGTGGATATGCTCAGTGCTTAGGCCAGCACTGAACCTATTGCCATCAGTGTGAGGCATAAAGATCTGCACTGGACCAACCAATTTGAAAATCTAACAGAAGCTCAGTTCCCATTTAGACACCAAATGAAGGCAGTGAGATTTCCAAACTGCTCTCATTCAGGATTCCCATTGTTTTCAGCTGGAAATGTGAGTGGGGATTCCCCATTCTTAATGGTTGCTCCAGAGTACTTGTGAAGATCTGACTATTGGGGCTAATGGAATTAATTTGTTTCTGCGAGAGAAATGTTCTGAACAGGTTACAATAGCCTGGTATAATTTTATTGTTTTATTTTTTCTCTGCATAGGAACAAAAGCCTTTATTTCCCAATCAATGAATAGCTGCTGAACACGGAGTTCTTCTTCATACTATTAACTCCTCCCCCACCAATAGTCAGTCTGGAACTGATATGGCAGTTCCCTTACAAATGTCCTTCATCTGTACTAAAGATGCATTATAATAATAGCAATACCACCTTACTCTGACATAGCACTCTTTATGTATAGCTCTCAAAGCAAATTACCAAAAAGATCATTGCCATTTTACAGGTGGGGAAACTGAGGCACAGAGCAGGGATGCGATATGCCCTCAAGCACTTAGCAGGTCTGTGGAAGAGCTGGGAATAGAATCCTGGTCTCTTGAATCACTTTCAATTGCTCGGTTCACACCACCACACTGCTTACTGTATTGTTGCGTTAGGAGAACAACAACTGGATGAAATTTTTTGAATGAGATTTCACTAAAGAATGCGGGGGTCTTATTTATTTAAATAATTTAGTGGAAAATTTTGACTTTTTGAGGTATTTCTTTTTTTTGTGATTTTTGGATGATATATTAAAGATTTTATTACGAATATCAAAAGTATTAAAGATTTTGTGTCCTTTACTAATAAAGGGGCTTAAAGAAAATGAAAATATTGATTAAAAGTCGTGAATATATTTTTTAAAAAATGAAAGGGCCTTACTGGAACTCTACAAAATGGAAAAAAATCTGAAACTTCAAATTTTTTTGGATTTTTTTTTTTTTTTAATTCAACCACCTCTAGGTGGAAGGTGTTTTTCCCTCGGACTCAGGTTTCCTCACGCTCACCTGTTTAAGCTTCAACAAGACTGATTTACTGTCTAGTAGTTTATAGGTTTTAGGTACTTAACCTTTGATTAAAAAAAAGTTAAGAAATCTTGGAGCTGGTTTAAGACTATCTTTCTGAAAAGGCCCCTCATCTTTCAGATAACATAAACCAGAATTCTTCAGAGCTCGTATATAAAATGGGAATGAAAACTGCTTTGATCAGTCTTCTAACGATTTGCCTACTTATGGCTACGATCAGGCTAGCACGTACTTTATAGTTACTCCTGCTTTGTTACTCGTAAAAGGCTAAAATGGGCAAATCACATTTTGCACCTTTAAAAAGTCATGCAATGTGACCCCTCAGACCTGAGATCTGGGATTTTGAGCTGCTGGAAGCTGGTGCACATGAAATTTAGCATTCAGTCAGGACATAATAATTTGCTGGTGCTTGTGAGTACAGGAGTTCCCACAGAGTGTTTCTGCAAGTTCCCTGGGTGGCTTTCCACCATTCCTGCATCTTGAGGGTTTGGAAAGTGCATGTCAAGTGAGTAGTTCATTCGAAGAACTACAGAAATTTCTTCTTCACTTACTCCTTTCATGAAATTTTCACTTGGATATAGTTGATTGACTCTGAAAGGGGCAACTTTACGACTATGGCATCTGCAAAACCACACACATCCTGCTGTCTGAAAACATCTAGTAGTGGGGAGAGGGATTGATTCATTCACTGAGCTACAAACATTTTTTGTTCCTTTACGGCTCTTCAATCTAGCCACCATGTCTTATGCATTTAATAAAACAGCAGCTGATGAGTGGGAGGGCACAGCAGCATGGCTTATCAAAACTGTAGATGCCTAACAAAACCAGTCCTGCCAAGTGCAGGTGTGAGGCTCTCTCTCCTACCTCTCTCTCTAATGGCCTACCCCTTTATTTCTATAGAATTAGTTTGTTCTTGAGGGGCCTGGTACAAGCATATCAACAGAAACTCTCACTGATTACAGTGGGATTTGGATCAGACCTCACAAGATAATTATGAGGTCTGTACTCACCTCGTCCTCCATCTGGATAGTGGATTTTCTTTTTTGAACTGATTACTCAGACAGAATCTTTCCAGGCTGAAAAGATGGAAATATTGCCTCCCCACTGAAGCCAACAGGGGACTATCGAGTTTTGATGTCAACACACAGTTTCTTTCCAGTCTCTTTTCTGTCTCTTACACTGTCTTTGCTGGTGGGGAGTTTGTCAATTTTAGTGTTCCCTAGTGTGATAGGATGGGAGAGGAAATGCTCTGACTATTCTGCAGGTTTTATAGTCTGAGGCACCAGAATCTGCATGAGCAGCTCCCATTGACTTACAGGGATATACCCACACTGTGTGGGGAACTGGGAAACTTTTTATGACTTGTTGCTTCCTCTCCTCTTGCATACCTACTGGGTGTGAAGGGTTGTTTTGAAATAAGGCAAGCCACATAGTGTCTGGAGAAAATAATCACACATCAAGAATTAAAATCCCTGGGTGAAGGTGATTTATGCAAATCCCTAGCCATGTAAACATGGCCCCAGAAGTATTATACCCATGGAACCTGAGTTTGTCAGATTCAAGAGGCCCAACAAAGCAAAGAACTGAGAATTGTATTAAGTGATAAACCTGGTATATGGAGGAGTCACTCTTAACCAGATCCAAGAACTGAAACATCAGTATGTCAAAGGAGATAAAGAATCTGCCAAAGGAGTTTGAAGGGCTTTGAAACTGGCCAGGATATCCATGAGAAAATGGGTGACGTGGTAAAGCAGGATGCACATAAGCGGCTTGTTGTTGTCAAGACTTTTTTTTCCTGTAATGCTTATGTTCTAAATAAGTGTTTTTGCTTTATGAAGGCTGGCTGGTCACTGGCTAACCCTGTCGTTCTTCCAGGGAGAACAACAAGATGTCAGGTACTAAACTGCAGTCAAACTCGCTATGGTGATCAGGGTAATTTGCAGGAGGAAATTGCAGCCTAAATCCCTGATCTGGACGAAAAGGGATGCAGGAGCCTACACCAAGAAAGGTGATGGCGAGAGGCCTGAATGTGGTGCCCTCAAGGAGATCATCATAAAGGGATCAGAGTGGCGGTTACCTCAGGAGCTGTGACATGCTTACCAGAGACCAGAATGTAGCCCTCAGCTGATCATTGCTCAAATCTGAAGGAGCCAGAAGCAGGGTAAGTGAATGATACCCCTTTAATTTTAAATGTATTAAAGTAACTATATTCCTATAGCATGAAATACGCAGCAAGCTCCATGTCCTGCTAGTGCACAAGTAACTGTTGGGACCACCATTGTATTATCCTTTCCAACAGTTTGTCAGAGAATGCTTCCTCTTGGGTTTGCCCTGACACTGACATACTTGGGGGATTGCAGTAGGATAAAACAAAAGACCTTTCCGGCCACGGCCACATGGGAGTTTGTGCTGTCCTTGCCAAGGAAAGGATAAAAGCATTAGAATTCTTTAATTTCAGAAAAGCTGACAGGAAGTAGCTTCCGCTGATTTAAATGCCCCCTAGACTCAGTATTTTGACTATTGTTAGTCATTTTCTTCCGAAATACAGACATTCGTTTAATTTTATATTGTCTCAACAACCCGGATCTTCCTTTACAGAGCTGATGCAAACAAAAGGAAAACAAAGGTTGTTTCCAATCACAGATTGTGAAAGGGCTAGTGACCACAGCTCATATTCTCTGAAATCAGTCCCTATCAATCTCCTCCAGAGAAAACTCACATAAACTGTGTTACTGTGGCTTTCTTGCCTTCAAAATATTTAAATAGCAGCAGAGTATTTGAACAGGAGAACCAAACAGGAAATAGGGTTGCCAGGTGTCCGGTTTTGAACCAGACAGTCCAGTATTTGAGCTTTCTGTCCGAGAAACAAATTGAGAAAAAAACGGACATATAAATGTCTGGTATTTTCTAATTTTTATTATTATCATGAGTATCAGGTCATAGTTGCATGCTGCCTGGCTCATAGACATGCTCACGCTGCGCAACTACACAGTATAGAGGAGAAGGTCGGGGCGGAGCCAGCGGAGCCAGGGCAGGATGGAATCCCCGGAGCTGGACTTGCCCATGCTCCCTGAGATTAATTGCAATTTTCAACAAATGCTATTTCAACTATTTAAAATGTAAGTAAAAAAAACCCACTTATGTATAGAACACTCTTCTCATCATGGAGTTAAACCCCAATTTGCCCGCTAAATGAAAAGATACCACAGAACAGGCACCAATGCATAGCGAGTTTTACCACCATATTCACCAGATATAATTCCATCCTATCATTTGTATCTGGTATTCTTCTATAGCAGGGGTGGGCAATAATTGTTGACAGGGGATTTTGGAAAGTGGTTGAGGGCCTCACTCTTCCATGATATTAATAGAGGAGATACGGGATCTGGGATGGCGGTTGGGTGAAGAGAGGAGCTTGGTGTAAAGAATTGGGGTATAGGAAAGAGAATGGAGTTTGGGAAGGAGTATGGATGAAGGAGGTGGTTGTGACCTAGGGCAGGGGACTTGAGTGCAGGGGTTTGGAATGTGACCTAGAGTAGGAGGGGATTGTGATCTGGGGCAAGAGATTGGGGTGCCAGATCTGGGAGGAGGTATGGGGGCAGGAGGGGGCAGAGGGTTGGGGAAGGGAGGGGCTGGGGTGCCAGAGGCAGGCTCTGGCTGGGAGGCACTTACCAGCAGAAACCTGAGGCAGACTGTCTGCTGCAGGCTGTTCTGCGTTGCTCTGCTCTGGGCATGAGAGGAGAAGGGGTAAAGGGTTAAGAAGGAAGGGAGAAGGCTTCCTACACTGCCCCTGAGCCCAGCAAAAAATCTCAGCTCCTATTGGCCAGAAACTGAGAGCTTGGCCAGTGGAAGCTAAGAGATTTTGCTGGGGGGTGGGAACAGCATGAGAAGTCTCCCTCCTCCCTCTCCAGTTGTCTGGATTGGAAAACAGCTGGCTCTATAAAGTGTGAGCTGTTTTTCTGCCTAAAGGTTCTGGCGAGGCAGCCATGGGCTAGATCTGGTGTCTTGGTGATCAGGATCTGGCCTGCTGGCAGCTTCTTGCCCACCCCATTAAAGATTCTCACTAACTTCATGGGAATTTTGATGAAGACTTAATGCTGATATTTTTCTTGTAATAACTCCCCTGACCTTCCTTGCACAAATGTTAGCTTGTCAGATTTCCATGTAAAAAATTGATTTTTCTATATTGCTTTCAAGCATGAATCTCCTCCATCATATTTTTACATTCATGGGATGTTTACCCAGCCCAAGCTGTCATAGTGATCCAAGCAGAGGTGGAAACACTGTATTTTGTTTGCAAAGCAATAGCAATGAGGTTGATGTGACTCACAACAAGGAACTAGGGCAAACCCCTGCTCTCTGTTTACATCATGGAAATTAAGAGCTTGCCACCAAACTAGTAGATCAGCTCCTTCACTCCTGAGTGCGTGTGCTGTACTAGAGAAAGAGGAGACAACAGCAATTACTCGTAAGTGGACAATTCTTATGGTCCAACCCCTACCCCCATTTAGAGACTTGCTGGGACATGGTAGGGAATAAGTTGTCCCCAAACCTTAGCTGGAGGAATCCTCCTGTGCACCCCCATTTAGAGACTTACTGGGACATGGTAGGGAATAGGTTTTCCCCAAACCTTAGCTGGAGGAATCCTCCTGTGCTACTTCTGCAGTGCATCTCATCTTCTCATGCTACTCATCTTCTCTCTAGCATGTTGATGCTGAATATGACCATGCCATTTTCCCTTTGGTTCTCTTGCTAGTACCATAGGGAAATGGTATATTTAGAAGTAGCAGCACAAGGGTGATCTTAGGAGGAGAAAGTAGGGCCAAGGGAGGGGAAAGATGCACACACAGACAAACACCTACCCATACATACAATGGGAATGAGGAGAGAGAGGGAGAGATACTTACATACAGTGGGAATTGGATGGTGTGAATCCCACAAATGGGAAGCTGGGGAGAAATGACTGCTTAGAGAAGTTTCCCAAGTAGTGGCTGATGAGTCCGATGTTGATAGAATGGTTTGTTCGAATAAAGAAATATTCCTGAATATCTTTTATGCTCTAATCAGCTACACTGGGGTTTGTTTGCTTCCTGACTTGCATCTTCATCATTATCCTCAATCAACCACAATAGATATAGTAAGTTTGATCATAAAACAATGGCTATAACAGTTTTCTTTTACATATGAGCATAATAGTTACCCAATAGCCTAACATCCTCTTCCAAGCTGCTTGGCTTAGCCACATCCTGCCTAGGAGAAATAGCAGTCATTTGCACAAATATTACTTGCTGAAGGCCAAACCCCCAAGTTCCTTCTTAGTTCTAATCAGCCCTCCTCACTCAGACAAATGACCCATTCACTTCACACAGAGGAAGCCAGCTGGCTCCTTTCCCCCTTTGATGGGATTCAAAGTTCAGCATACGTTAAACATTCCCTTCCCTTTGAGCTGACAAAGGTACATTAGAAAAACTGTTATTCAGGATTCAAGTTCAGGGGTATATCTGAAGCGTCAAACATTTGTTTTACTTGAAGTGCTATGTTTGGGTTCTGTTCTCTACATCTAATTCCTGTAATTGTCTTCAGTGTAATTCTCCACCCACCACACCCAGCATTTCATTGCAATTACTGTCCAGTAGCCAGGGCAGTAAGTCAAACAGATATTATATAAACCTCCCTCAAAGTTTATCTGGATCTAATCCATAATTCTAAATTGTATATTGGATTAACCCCCTGGTATGTACGAACCCACATTAGTTAAAACAAGACTGATTCTCTGCATGCATATAAATATATATATATTTTACAGTCAGTACAAAAGTGTGAGAAACCTAAACCACAACTTTGTTATTGGACCTTCCAGACTTTGACATTGTTCAGACCTGGTGTTTTAGTTCAGGCCATGATACAGAGAAGGATCAGCCATAACATTTGGATCCAGGTCAAAGTCTGGATAACACAATTACTTGAAAGACTAAGGATTTAATTAATCCAGGTGTTTGGAAATGCACACTAAACAACAGTAACGGTCATTTTGCGTATCCTGCTTGTTTGGAAAAATAAAAAGCAAAGTGACGCTAGAGAGAGCAAGATGTGTTTCCATAACATTTGTAGTCAGAAAATGCCAGAAATTGTAACCCTTGACCTAAATATATGCAAAAATAAAGAAAGTTTAGTAGGAAGAGTTGGGGTTTAACTTGCTTTGTGTAAACTGCTTCTAAATTGGCAACATAACTGATGGGCAACAGTTTGTTTGTTTGTGCAGGGCCCCTAGAGAAAAGCTGGAAGAAGTAATGTTTTGAGCATTCTTTTTTAGTTGGGTGGAAACTATATCCCTCTCTAAAGGCAAAACAATAGTAATGATCTGCTTATGTGCATGAATAACACAAATATCCCAGTCTACAGCATAGCACTAGAAACACACTAAAATGGGGGGAAAACAGCACCAGGATTACTTTGGGATTAATATAATAAACAGGGCACTGAAATATTTCAATTAGAACCAAATGGCAGCCTGTTACCCATGCTGTGTAAAAAGACACAATGGCAAAACTAGGATTTAAGGCATTTCCCTAAACTCTCGTCTTTCCTTAAATTGATTCACATCTGCACTAATTGTTATCTGCATAGTTCACATTTGTTTTTCTTTTGTTAGCCTGTTTCCCTTTCTCAGTTTAAAGAATAGTTTATCTGCACTCCCTGGAAGGGTGTTACTCATAAAGTTCACAAGCTTTTAGATTAAGCAAAAACGCTGGCACGTTGACTGAAAGGACAAAGCTTGCTGAGGCTTGAAAACACAAGTACCGCATTGCATTTGCACTGAGGCAGTAACTGTGTCTCTTGTTGTCGTTGCCAGGGTTCTGCGAGATCTCGGAGTATGCATTTCTATGGTCAAATGGCAAGTAGATTTTTAAGGTAATCTAAGCATTTGAGAATAACTGCTCTAGTATGTCAGTGTTCTTAATCCTTCCCATATTCCACTCTGACAAAAATTTTAGGACGTGGGGGTTTTGTTTTTTTTGAGGGGGAATGTCAGATTTTTATGCATATTGGTTTGTGGGTAAAAGATCAGAACTGGAATCCTGAACCAAGAGAATTTTACTCCCAGCTCTCGCACTGTTTTTCTGTATGATCTTGGGCAAATTACATGTCTTCTCTGTGCTTTATCTTGTCTCCATAAATTCTAGGTACAAATATTTACTTCACAGGGATGGTGTGAGGCATATAAAGATCCTCAGATGGGAAGCAACAGAGAAATCCAAAGGCAAGTTGCTGATTTTTTCTTTTTAGTGTATGCAAAAGCACTAATTTGTCTTTGTTTTTATTTTCAAGGTGATTTTACAATGGAAGGAAGTGCAGACTCATTGGTGATGACTGTGCATCTTCTTGCCACCTCTGGACAGTCGTTACTCTTGCAGCAAACTCTTGATCGGCTTCTGAAGTGGATCTGCCTGGATGTTCGCCTCTTCCTTGTATCTGAACGTGTTACTCCTGTGAAATATTATGAGAAATATCACCAGAACAGTTCTGGGTTTCCTGGGATGTCCATTCTCCTTTTCCTGCATGAGGCTTTTGGAGAAGAACGGATTTTTCAGGTCCGTGACTTTTTCCAGCACCCACCTTGGCAGTGTTACCACATGCAATGTGCTAATGGGAAACTGTACCCTTGTGCATCTACTAGCCAGGAATTCTATAGTCTGGATGAACATATGCCTGTATGGGGTGTTCGGCAAGTTCATTATGGCACTGAAATTCTGCGTGTGACCCTCTACTGTAGCTTTGAGAACTATGATGATGCCATCCGACTTTATGAGATGATCCTACAGAAAGAAGCAACTCTGCAGAAGAATAACTTCTGTGTCTTTGCACTGTATGCAACACAAAGCATTGCCGTTCAACTCTGCTTGAAGCAGCTGCCCCCAGGGCTTTCTGTTGAACTGAAAGAATCTTCCGTGTTGCAATTCAAAGTACATGAAATTGGGCAGCTAGTACCACTTCTGCCTAATCCATGCGTTCCCATTAGTAGCACTCGGTGGCAAACTCAGGACTATGAAGGAAACAAAATTTTACTTCAGGTACTGTTTGTTTATGTGCTGTCTTTAATTTAGTAGGTCAGCAAGGGAGATCACAGGTTCTGATTAGGAGACTATTATTATTTATTTCTTCCTTTTAATTTATAAAATGTTGATAACTGCCTATTCCATATCTGGATGCTTTCCCCACTAATAAAACCGCACAACGTTACATAAAAAGATTGCCAAATATTTTTGTAATGTCACCCTCTGGGCTGAAATGACATTGTGTAGTCAGGTTTGTTAAATTATCACCTGAGATGTCAATACAGAGCAGCCTGCAAAGTAGATGAAGTTTCAGCCTCCGATCAAATTACCGTGAGTGCCTGAATTATTTCTTTACGATAAGGGTTTAGAATGGAAATGCTTTCAGAAGCTGATGTCTAGCTGTGCTGTTGGGGGCCATGTGAGGAGGTATATGTTTGGATGTATCTGACAAAGTGGGTTCCAGCCCACAAAAACTTCTGCCCAAATAAATGTGAGTCTTTAAGGTGCACAGGACTCCTCATTGTTTTTGCTGGAACAAACTAACATGGCTACTCCTTTGAAACTTTAGGTGTATGGGATTGGTCACTTTTCACTAGCGTTTTGCAGTTAAACTGAGTAATGAAACTGTACTGCCTAGGGTGGAGTAAATGAATGAATGTGAACAAGGGCTTCTCTCCAGGATTTTTTCATATCTTTTGTTTTTTCAGTCTAAACTGACTTGTGTTTACATGACACAATTCTTTTTAGAATAACCTGGTGTCCTTTTGCAAGAGGTTAAATCCGTTTCAAGATGCATTATTCTGGAAAATGTTTCCAGTGGACATGCCCATATTTTGTATGAACTTCACCTCTGGCAGTCGTCCTCTTGCTGTCCCACAGTGCGTTGCTTTACATCTGACATGTCTGCCTATTTATGTGCACTCTGCTGGTCTGAAAGTTGGGAATTTGCATTCACCATCCCTCAATATTTTCCTGGAAATCCCCTTCAAACATATTTTCCCAAAAGTCCATTCTTGTTGGGCATATTGTTCAATATAGTTCTGTTACATCCAGGCCTTTCCTTACATCTGTTACATCTCCTCCCTAGAGGTTATGTATGATCCCAGCTCACAATAATACATAAAACTTTGCATTTAGTACAATGGACCCCAAGGACACTTAATTCAGTAAGGTTTCTTTAAGGCTATGGCAGGCTGTTATACATATATATCACAGTTAGCATCCCCATTGTACGGATGGGAACTTGAAGGCAGAAATATTAAAAGCTTGATGTGTCTGAGGGCCTTGTGGGGAGCTGGAAATGAGCATTCCAGCACTAGAGGGAAGCATGCAATACTTGTCGTTATTGGGCTAAAGATTTAATTCAGTGGGTCTGATTCTCTACTCACTTGAAACCAGTTTAGGTCCCTTGACTTTAATGAACTAGTTCCTGATTTACACCAGTGTGAGGGAAAGAAGTAGGCCCAATAGCTTTTAGACCACAAGCTATTTGAGACAGGAACTGTCATTTACTACATGGATATATAGCACCATAGCAGGGCCTTCACCTGGTTGTAGGATCTTGGCATCTCTGTAATACAGTAATAATTACTAAATATTAGCCTTACAATGGCTTCATTTGCAAATGGTGGACAGGTGTAAGAGTTGTGAGAGAAGGCCCAGCGTTTGTTACACGTTTTTAAATCAATTGACCAGCAAATTTTAGAAATGTCAATTATGGGGTCAAAATTTTTCCACAATGAATGTTTGTTTTCCAAGCAGTTTATAGACTTAATAGATTTTTTAAAAAATTCAAAATATCAACAAAAACAAATTACTCAGGGTTTTCCATTTAAACATTTAATATCCTAGTATTTTCATTCATTTTCTTATACTTCTGTGTTCAATATAATTTGATTTACTTCAATAATTTGCAACAATCCTCTGTAGTCTTAATTTTTCTCTATTTTTTTGGCAAAGTGATTTCACCTTCATTTTTTCTCTTTCTATTCCTTCTCCAGATTATTTGGTAAAATTCCTGCTAAACCATCTGCATGGCTGATTTCTTTACTAATTTCTTTCTAATAATCCTCAATGCAGCTTTTGCTTTTATTTTTTCATTACTTCTCATTTTCTGTTTCTCTTCAAATTCAGTGGCTACTCACCTGATATAGGCAAGGGCTTCACTTTGAGAGGCATTTGAATTCCCTAGCAGGAGAGGGTTAGGATTTGGGATTTGTCTGACTCCTCCTCCTCCTGTTAAGGGAAGTAGGAGCCAGTCTGAATTTGGGATTTATTTCGTTTTGTTGCTTCAATCAGCACAATGATATGATGACAGTTTGCCATGAGCATTCTTTGAGCAGATAGGATTTTCCATATACCCACGGAGGTAATAGCAGTCAAGGGCTATCAGTACCTTCCTGTATTGCATCTAAATCCTATCTGCTCAAAGAAGTCAAGGGCTATCAGTACCTTCCTGTATTGCATCTTTCATACTAAAAGAACCATAGTATCTCTGGTTTGTCAGTTAAGAAGAAAGAACAAACCTTGACTAAGTCACAAAGGTTGATGTGATCCCTTGCTAATAGCCAAGTGGTATTATTTAGGGCATCTCCATGTTGAATGACTTTTTGGAAACTAATTGAATATTATTTAATAGTTCGTCTCTGTTAAGAGATCACTTGCCTCCTTTTCAGTCTGTCCTCAATACTGTAGAATGTGTCTTGGAAGGCTGTTGATCAGTTAGGGTGCGTCTACACAGGATCTTTACCTCAAACTAGCTCATTTTGAAATTTGGCACTTTCTAAAAAGCACCAAATTTTAAAATAAAGTGCTATTTCAACAAATCCCTTAACCCTTGTGGAATGAGGATTACAGGGATGATGGAATAGCGTGCCTATTATTTCTAAATATATTTCAAAATAACAGGCACATTTAAAGATGTGGTTTAAATCAATAGAGGGAGGGATAGCTCAGTGGTTTAAGCATTGGCCTGCTAAACCCAGTGTTGTGAGTTCAATCCTTGAGGGGGCCACTTAGGGACTTGGGGCAAATCTGCCAGGGATGGTACATGGTGCTGCTGTGAGGGCAGGGGAATGGACTCAATGATCTCTCAAGGTCCCTTCCAGATCTATGAGATAGTATTACTCCATAAATTATATTATAAAATGCAGAATAGCTATTTCTGGATACCAAATGTATTCTGAAATAGCTCCACTATGTAGAAATAGCCTCAGTGTACCTGAAATAGCTCCACAGCTCCACTATGTAGAAATAGCCTCAGTGTATAAAATGTCCTTGGCGTATCACACATTTGTTACTCTCTGTCATCTTCAGAGAATCATACGTGAACATATTTCTGTAACAATAGGTGTCAGCAAGTGGTGCTGTTACACAAACCAGAGTAAAGCGCACTAGCTTGCCTTGCACTAAGAGGACCATGCTACCATGCACAGTTCTGCAGTGCATTTTGACACTAACAGCGGTGTGCCAAAGCACACTACATAGTCCTGGGGGAATTCTGCAATCGTTACCTTTTAGAACAGGGCAGGGGGGGGAACCTGTTTTGAGTTAGGGGCTGCTGCTGACCTGTAGAAATATCAGTCAGGTGAGGAGCAGTGGGTGCCAGTGCGGCTTCTCCAGTGCTGGGCGGGGAGGAGCTCTGAGCCCCAGGGGCTGGATTCAGGCACACCAGGGACTGCATCTGGCACCTGGGCCTTAGGTTCCCCACCCCTGTTGTAGATCATGGTAATGTAGTTCACATGGCACCTGAGTAATTTGCCAAGCTCAAAGGCAAAAGTAAGCCGGTGTGCCCTGGTGCGGTGCATGGATAAGATTGGCCAAGTGGGGCAGGGTTCTGGATGCTGCCAGCCAAGCTTCCTGTGCTGGGTGTGGGCTGCCCGCTCCTCCATTTCAGCTTCCCTCACCCACAGGAACCCAAATCACTGAGGCCCCCAGGCCTAGCACCACTTTCCTTCTCATCCTTTGGGGCTTATTTTCCTCCAGCAAATACATGATGCAAATTAGATTCCATTATTATGCTTATTTGGGTTGCTTATTATGGAATAACTAATGTATAGTTGACAAGAGACATGATATTTCACATGCTCACACATCTTCAGAATTCAAGGTTTTCTTCCTTGAATTGTCTTTAGTTCCTTTCCTGTTCCATTCTCTGCCCTTCCCCTAAGGGTTTATAGGTAATGCCTAATACTCATACTTTGCTGATATGATCGTAGAAATGTAGAGCTGTAAGAGAGCTCAAGAGGTCATCTGGTCCCTCCTTCCATATTAACGCAGGACCAAATGTACCTAGACTATCCCTGAAGTTTTTTCAGACAAAGGTAGACAATGATGCAGATTCCACAACGTTCCTTGGTTCTTATTACAGGATTTAACTATTTTTATCATTAGAAAGTTTTCCCTAAAATCTAATCTAAAACTCCCTTGCTAAAGATTAATTCAGTTATTTTCTCTCCTATCTTCAGTGGACATAGAGGACAATTGAACCACCATCCTCTTTATAAAACATTCTTATGTATTTTAAGATGATCAGATCCTCCACAGCCTTCTTTTCTCAAGACTTAAATGTTCCCAGTATTTTTAACTTCTGCACATAGCTCAGTTTTGATAACCCTTTTTTATCTCTTTTGGCTGTTCTACTCTAAGTTCTCTCCAATTTGTCCACGTCTTTCCTGAAGTGTGGCACTCAGCCAGAGAACTGTGTCTGTTTCTAAGGCCTCACTAGTACCATGCAAAAAGGGGTAATTTTTTTCCATGTCTTCCACATGACCCTTCTGTTATAATGCACCACAGAACAGTAGTAATCTTTTCTGCACCCTTGTGAAACTGTTGGTTGTATTCAATTTTGTGATCCATGCTGTCGTGTAACTGTCTAGTCAGTCATTCTCTGTTTTGTAGTTGTGTATTTATGTGGGGGGAGGGGAATTCCTCCATAAAGGCAAATACAAATTACTACATTTATTGAATTTCATCTTAAAAGCACAGGGAATGCCATATTGGGTCAAACCAATGGTTGGTCTAGCCCAATATCCTGTCTTCAACAATGAGTTTCAGGGGGAGTCTACTGAATAAAGCAGTTGGAGAAATCTTTCCTGTCTTTCCCTGTCTCCTGGCAGTCATAGGTTAAGGCTGCCCTAAGAATCAGGTTGTACTCCTGGCCATCTTGGCTAGAAGCCATTGAATGACCTATCTTCCATGAATTTATCTACCGTATTTTCCAGCGTATAAGGCTACTGGGCGTATAAGACGACCCCCTAATTTTTTAGTTAAAAGATAGGTTTTCGTCTTATACCCCAGCGCCCCTCCGCCTCCCCGGCTTTGCTCCCGGTGTCCCTGGTCTGCTGGAGACGGTCCCCAGCAGACCAGAGGCACCGGGAGCAAAGCCGCAGCAGCGGTGGGGTCCCGCGCTTCTGAGGCTTTCTCTTATTTTTAATCCCCCTTACTTGTCTCTTTGTTTAAAGCTGATCAGCCCTAATCTTTCTGGTCTCTCCTCTTAGGGAAGCCAGTCCATGCCCTTCATAATCTCTGTAGCCCTTCTCTCTGAACCTTGTTCAGTTCAGTTCTGCTTTTTGAGATGGGTGATGAGAACTGTGGGTGCGCCATGGGTTTACATAGAGATATTTACAGGCAGTCCCCGACTTACGCAGATCCGACTTATGTATCCCCGTTAGTGCGGACTCCGTGCCCGCGGCTACACGCGGCATGGAGTAGGTAGTTTGAATTAGGCTCTCTAATTCGAACTACTGTTACGCCTCGTGGAACAAGGTGTACCGGTAGTTCGAATTAGAGAGCCTAATTCAAACTACCTACTCCGTGCCATGTGTAGCCGCGGGCACGGAGTCCGCACTAACGGGGATTTAAAAATGGCGGCGCCCGGCAAGATGCAAATGAAGCCCAGAATATTTAAATCCCGGGCTTCATTTGCAACTTTGAATGCCTACATTAGCCACCCTAGTTCGAACAAGGGTGGTAGTGTAGACATACCCTAAGTCTGTAGATGTCTGAGGGTTTTTTAAAGTCCATTGTCCTTATTTTGCTGCTCTCATTCTTTTCTTTCCTTAGACTCATGGAATCTGTCATTTCATGTTCACTTTCATCCAAGTTGTCCTCGGCTCCACAACCAGTCCCTTCCTCCATGTTAGTCAGAATCAAGTCTAAAGTCGCTGTCACCATAGTTACTGCTTCCACCTTTGGAAACAAGAACTTGTCCCCAACACACTTCAAGAACTTACAGAGCACCTTGTATTCTGAAGTGTTACTCTTTCCAAAAGATTTTAATCTTGAATCACACATGAAAAGTGTTTTAATACAAATGATATTGGATTCTTGGACTCTCCTAGAACTAAACCAGCAAACTGATTTAATCATCGCATTACTGCTCATCCATGAGAGAGGTAGTATAAATACATTGGGCCTGATTTTTCACCGCTTTTCACCTTCTCTTAGTTATTTATAGCTGTTCCAAACAAGGTTTTTTAATAACTAGAGCAGGTATGAGGAAAAATCAGGCCTGTTTGTCAGTGTCGTAGCTCAATTTCCCATTGGCCTGCACTTCAAATCCTCAGTCTGATTGCTGTGATAAGGTTTAATCTGAAACTGCAACAGATTGAATTTACATGTGTGAATCAACAACAAATGTGTGTGACTTACAATATGATTTAAATTTATTACTCTAAGGGTGTCACTGAATCTTTGTTGTTGTTTTTCTTTATCAAAACAGTGAAGTTTGTGAACTGTGATTAGTAGCAAAGGAACATGATAAATAAATGTAATGTTATATTGAAATTAATAGATCATTTAATTCATACATTCTTTAACATGGGTCTCCACCTCTCAGCTGTGTAGCTGCCGAAGATAATAATGGAACCCATTACCATTATACATTGTAGATGATTTCAGCATGATAGCTGCAGATGGAGGACACAGTAGTCCCCTCATTGCTGCTTACCCAATGATTTAATGGTGCTCTTGTAAACCTCTCTTTAACAGGTTCAAGGCAACTCAAAACATAGTGAAAAAAATGGTGTGCTTTCCCGTCGGCACAACAATGCAAGTGAAGAACAGAGCCTGCAGAGTTCCACTCTAGCATCTTTCCCCACAAAGTGGATAAACCATAAACAGAAGAGCCGGAAGATGAGAATGAACTGTAAAATCAAATCAGAACATGGAATTATTTCTGGGAGCGCTAGTGGCACCCCACAGAGTAACTCCTGCTCTTCATCCCAGGCCAGCAGGCCAGCAGCTACTTCACAGTCTGATACCACCTCTTTCAGTACAAATACAGGCAACAAACTGCACATTGCTAGTCAAGGAAGACGATTTCAAAGGCAAGAAGAAGAGACCAATGTTGACACAGGATTTGCGGTAGTTCATTCTGAATGCAGTCCATCACCCCTTTCCCGGTTTGCAAGGGACTTGCAGGACAGCCTTCCTCAACCACCAGCACCAAAGTATTTATTAGATGCTGCTGGCTCTAGAATCAACTTGCTTTCTGAGAACAGAACCCATCTGTTGTCATTTGCGGTTCAAAGAAATAAAGGAGCAGGACAGACCGCTTCAGACTTTCACTTGCGAATATCAAGAGCAAGCTATGGAAATGGAAATGAAGAGGAGGAGGAGGAATTCTTCATTTGACTTGAAACACACATGTGCCTAACTGATTGACTTAAAAACGTATAGCTAAATGCTTTATTCTGGAGAGAGAGAGAAAGCGTTTTGAATGCTCTTTTACTCTGTGTTCATACAGACCCCAATGTGCCTAGGCTCCCTGTTCTGTTGTAAAAAGAGACTTCAGTGGGGTTTTGTTGCAGTCGAATCACTTTATGTACTAAAATGCTAATGGGACAGAGGGCAAAACCATGAAAATAATCCTGGGCAGTTACACAGAGAGCTTGATTCTTTCCTACACAGAACACCCAGTCGGGTAATTGTGCAATGATGGGAGTAAGCCATAGGGGTCCTCTTATGGTTTGTAAGTGTGAATCAGTAGCCCATGATACAGTGCACTAAAGGGCCGTGGCAGCAGGGCATGCTTCCCAGCTAAAAATAGCAATGTGGATATGGGAGGCATGGTGCAATTGTGTCAAGTATGTGCCATAGAGTTCAGGTGTGTAGAGCACTCTACTTACTTAGAACAGTATCCCACTGTCTACTCTATTTAGAGCCGTGTTACCTCAGCATGCAATGCCTGTACGCTACATGCTGCCGTAAGTAGGTGTACCTGAGGAGCTGGCAGGGTCACAGCATGTGAGCAGGCTTGCAGTGTCATTCTTTCTGTGTGCCCCCTCATTTCTCCCTCTGCCATCATGCAAACTTGAAACCTCTGAATGTGGTCATTTATAGGCATTTAAACAGGGGAAGAAAGTGTTTAACAGGAAGAAGCACAAGGAAGAAGGTGCCAACAGAGGACTCCTGACTCCTATGGAGAAGGTCAGGCAATCAGTTAGTTATCTAAGTTGTCTGTACACGAACACAAGAAGCCTGGGGAACAGCTATGGGGACAGTTTCCTAGTGCAAGTGCTGAAGGAGCCACGTGCTGCTCACAAACAGAACATAAGAACGGCCATACTGAGTCAGACCAAAGGCCCATACATAAGAACGGCCATACTGAGTCAGACCAAAGGTCCATGCAGCCCAGTACTCTGTCTACCGACTGTGGCCAATACCAGGTGTCCCAGAGGGAGTGAACTGAACAGGTAATGATCAAGTGATCTCTCTCCTGCCATCCATCTCCACCCTCTAACAAACAGAAGGTAGGGACACCATTCCTTACCCATCCTGGCTAATAGCCATTAATGGACTTAACCTCCATTAATTTATCTAGTTCTCTTTTAAACCATTTATAGTCCTAGCCTTCACAACCTCCTCAGGCAAGGAGTTCCACAGATTGACTATGCGCTGTGTGAAGAAGAACTTTATTTTATTTGTTTTAAACCTGCTGCCCATTAGTTTCATTTGGTGGCCCCTAGTTCTTATATTATGAGAACAAGTTTTTCCTTATTCACTTTCTCCACACCACTCATGATTTTATATACCTCTATCAGAACTCCCCCAAGTTTTCCCTTTTCCATGCTGAAAAGTCCCAATCTCTCCTCATATGGGATCCATTCCAAACCCCTAATGATTTTAGTTGGCCTTCTCTGAATCTTTTCTAATGCCAGTATATCTTTTTTGAGATGAGGAGACCACATCTGTACACAGTATTTAAGATGTGGGTGTACCAGGGATTTATAGAAGGGCAATAAGATATTCTCCGTCTTATCCATTTTTTAATGATTCCTAACATCCTGTTTGCTTTTTTGACTGCCGCTGCATACTGTATAGACGTCTTCAGAGAACTATCCATGATAACTCCAAGATCTCTTTCCTGATTAGTTGTAGCTAAATTAGCCCCCATCATATTATATGTATAGTTGGGGTTATTTTTTCCAATGTGCATTACTTTACATTTATCCACATTAAATTTCATTTGCCAATTTGTTGCCCAATCACTTAGTTTTGTGAGATCTTTTTGAAGTTCTTCACAGTCTGCTTTGGTCTTAACTACCTTGAGTAGTTTAGTATCATCTGCAAACTTTGCCACCTCACTGTTTACTCCTTTCTCGAAATCATTTATGAATAAGTTGAAGAGGATTGGTCCTAGGACTGACCCTTGGGGAACACCACTAGTTACCCCTCTCCATTTTCAAAATTTACCATTTATTCCTGCCTTTGTTTCCTGTCTTTTAACCAGTTCTCAGTCCATGAAAGGATCTTCCCTCTTATTCCATGACAACTTAATTTACGTAAGAGCCTTTGGTGAGGGACCTTGTCAAAGGCTTCCTGAAAATCTAAGTACGCTATATCTACTGGATCCCCCTTGTCCACAGGTTTGTTGGCCCCTTCAAAAAAACTCTAATAGATTAGTAAGACACGATTTCCCTTTACAGAAACCATGTTGACTTTTGCCCAACAAATTATGATCTTTTATGTGTCTGACAATTTTATTCTTTACTATTGTTTCAACTAATTTTCCTGGTACTGACGTTAAACTTACCGGTCTGGAATTCCTGGGATCGCCTCTAGAACAGTTTTTAAATATTGGCGTTACATTATCTATCTTCCAGTCGTTGGGTACTGAAGCTGATTTAAAGGATAGGTTACAAACGATAGTTAATAGTGCCACAATTTCACATTTGAGTTCTGTCAGAACTCTTGGGTGAATGCCATCTGGTCCGGGTGACTTGTTACTGTTAAGTTTATCAGTTATTTCCAAAACCTCCTCTAATGACACCTCAATCAGTGACAAGTCCTCAGATTTGTCAGCTACAAAGGATGGGTCAGGTTTGAGAATCTCCCTAACATCCTCAGCTGTGAAGATTGAAGCAAAGAATTCATTTCGTTTTCCCGCAATGACTTTATCATCTTTAAGTGCTCCTTTTGTATCTTGATTGTCCAGGGGCCCCACTGGTTGTTTAGCAGGCTTGCTTCTGATGTACTTAAAAGGTAATATAAAATGTTTTTTTGAGTTTTTGGCTAGCTGTTCTTCAAACTCCCTTCAAACAGGGAGGAAAGAACTATGATTTGATTGGAATAACAGAGAGTTGGTGGGATGACTCACAAGACTGGAGCACTGTCATGGAAGGGTATAAACTATTCAGGAAGAACAGGCGCGGGAGAAAAGGTGGAGGAGTTGCACTATATGCTGACCTTTGTAAAGGGTTTTGAGTTACATGGATGAAAAGTGCGAGAGAAGAGCTAGATGATGATATAATTTAGTGTACTGACATTTATGAAATACTTTATTTTGTTAACAAGTGCCCCAACAACACGCTCCCCACAATTCAAAGTGACGGTTTTGTATCGCCATTTGAAACATCAGATAATAATACACTGCTCATTCCGTTACAGGCTGCTAAAATTGCTAAATCCCTTCACCCTTCAGTACTCCAAGCAATGGAAAGAACTTCAATTTCCACAAGTAACCAGGGTGACAAGGAAGGCCTTGCATCATGAGCAGAAAATAATTATATCTAGTGTCCTAGTTCTCACTCTGCACATGGAGGGTATATTGGTGACATGCCCAGAGCTATAAGGGTATGTCTACACTACCCCGCTAGTTCGAACTAGCGGGGGTAATGTAGTCATCCGCAGTTGCAAATGAAGCCCGGGATTTGAATTTCCCGGGCTTCATTTGCATTAAGCCGGCTGGCACCATTTTTAAATGCCGGCTAGTTCGAACCCCGTGCCGCGCCCATTTTTAAATGCCAGCTAGTTCGAACCCCATGCCGCGTGGCTACACGCAGCACGGAGTAGCTAGTTCGGATTAGGCTTCTAATCCGAACTAGCTGTACTCCTCGTGGAACAGGCTTCATTTGCAACTGTGGATGACTACATTACCCCCGCTAGTTTGAACTAGCGGGGTAGTGTAGACATACCCTCAGTTATTGTCTGCTCATCAAGATCATAAACAGAGTCATGTAACTGAGAGCAGTCCAGAGGCTGCTCTAACTGATTCAAGGACCGAGTTCTCTCCTGGTTGCCCCAAAATATGACCAAAATGCATTTTCATGGTCCTCACTACTTGTTCCTTTCTCAAATTGAGGAATAAAATCATAAGGAATTGGGGTCAATATCCACCATCCCTCCCACAAAGAAAGTATTCAGCATTTCAGTAATGCACATGTAAAAGGAAAATTTCAGTGTCAAAATCTGAATGACCAAATCTCATCACATATTAAAGTAGTTTTCTTTCAGCCTGGGTCCTATTCCCATCTATGTGGGATCAGTGCCTTATCCATTCCAGTCTGTCTTGGAGCAGTTCCCCAGAAACTCTGCAGCTAATCCAATCCTTTTTGTATGACACTCATATATTTTGGGGTCTTCCAACGCTTCTCATACTGTCCACTTCTAAGTTTAACTCCCAGTTTCCTATGCTGTCTTCTAATCTTTTCGTATGCCCAAACATCTGAGCCTGAATCCCCTCAGGATTTCTATAGTTGGTCACACCTTTTCACTTCCCCTAATTTATTTGTTCCAAACATGTTCCATCCTCATAACTCCAAGCCTCTGTCATAATATTTTTATTACCATCATATTCAAAACCTGCTCTTGCTTAATGACATATAAAAGTCAAGTGCCAATTACTTTTAAAGACATTTAATGTTTATTTACAGCTATCAAGACTGTAGCTTGCTATTTACCAGGCTGGATCTAGTGCACAGTGTCCTTACAATGGTATTTTCCACAGAGATGGTTGACAATTATGGAGATAATGAAGCAGTATTGTATGAACTGTTCTGAATCATCACGTGCAATGGCTCTAGTAGTAAATAACTATTTCTCTAAGGTATTTTTATAACAAATCACTTCCCTTTTTCTTAGCCTTATTGGTCTAGATTTCTTGGAACTGCAAGTTTAAATCCCAGCAGGTTCATATCCTTTGTCCTTCTGAGACAGATGAACAAGAGTGTGAGCCTTCCTAATCTGACCCTTTGCCAAACAAGACTGTGTTGGCCCAGCGAGAGCCTCTGCTCAGGCATTTTTTGTAAAAGCAGAGAATGTCCTTCCTCTCTGTAGGAGGCTGTACACTCGTTGGCTACCAGCTCCCCAACCTGAGGTGTTTCGTTAGTGCTGTTTGTCTGCAGTTTTGTGAAGTACTTGGGGCTTTTTGGTACAAAAGGCTCTAAAGAAATGTTTATATCCTTGGCGCCTGGAGTCTTCAATCTATGGTTCCAGTGCAAGCCTGTCTCTGATATGAATGTGAATTGTGATTTCTTTTCAAAATGAGCCGCAGTATCTTTTAAGTGATGTTCAAAGTGTCCCAAAGAGACACATGCAAGATAAGCTTCCGGGACCCTCTTTCCATTGAAGGCAAAGGCAAAATTCTTTTTGAGTTCAATGGAAACAAAATTAGGGCCTTAGACCCTCTGAGCAATTTTAGGATAAAATAAAGATGTGTTTCTAAAATTATCCTACAAGCAGTTTAAGGTAAAACAGAGAAGCGTTCAGTTCATAAAGCACGTCAAGAGAAATGGAAAAGTTGATGGCTTGTTAGAGAAAACAAAAGTGTCCTAGCAGGATATTGAGGTAGGAAATACAGGCCTTGATTCTGCAATGTGATGGGCAAAGGGGCCCCCCATTTCCCCTTTGAGCCTTGTTGTACTCTGGGTCCATGCAGGTAGGTTGTCGAAGGGTTCACTGGAGCATTGCCTAAGGATTCACTCATTCATCAAACTACAAAATTGGATCTAGAACCAGGAAATAATGCTTCAAAGCAATTAAGGGTTTTTTTCAGCGCCTCAGAGTCTCAAGCTTTTCTCAGGGTTTTGGTGTTCAACTAACAGACATTTAGACCATGGCAGTATCTTAGTTATTTCTTTAAGTACCATGCAGCTTCCTGTAAGAGCAAATTGGTCATATGAGATCTCTCAGCCTTACATTCATATTTAATCATTTTACACTGAATAATTTAAACCTCTGTTTTTTCTATCACAAGTTAAATTCCGTAGCTCGCTGTAAGTTTCACCTTACTTGAATCCTGGGCCACGTTGTTGCCAGTGTGCTAGTCTGTGTATCTCGCTAACTTCAGTTGAGTTACCTAAGGAA